CTCCCTGTGCTGTGCGGTTCCTCCTCCTCCAGAGGGAGCCACCGAGGCGGAGGGGAGGGGGAGGGCGGTGCTCGGTGAGGTCTCAGTAGGCGCCTCCCAAAGCCGGTGCTGGGTGTTCGGGTGGATGTTGGAGGAGAGGTCCGGTTCGTTCTTCCAAGAACACACAGTCCAGTGGCTCTTTGTCGTTCCCAACAACAGGAATGCAACTGAAACTAACACTCCATTTCTCCCCCCGCAGATGAGCACACCGTCCGCAGGCCAGAGGCACTGGGCTGGGCCTGGGAGCAGGTGCTGCACCCCCAGGTGGGTGTGGGAGCGGCAGCATCGGGGAGGGATCTGTCTTGTCCCCACAGGTAGGGAGACACAGGGACCTGGCCCGCAGCCCCAGCTCGGTAACTCGGTCACACCGGCCACCTGCACAGCGACCTACATATACCATGGCTCCCTGGGCAGAGCCCGCAGGGCAGAGGGTGGGAGGGCCTGGGTTATTGCGCCCGGGCTGCTGGGACACCAGGCAGCTCTGAGCGAGAGTGAGAAGCGAGCGCGAGCTGCGTGCTGCTGTGAAGGTCTTCAGAGCATGAGGCCCAAGTGAGAACCAAAATACAGACCTGCAGGGATGGGGGGAGGAATGTGTCAGCATGTGCTTTTATTTACATAAACGAACAAAAAATGATACAGCTGATGAGGGAACTGGGTGTGGCAGACATCTTTAAGATCATGCTGAGCTTTGAACTTCAAGCTATCACCCGGCCGGCTGGTGTGGCTCAGTGGATTGACCATCGATCTGTGAACCAAGAGGTCCCGGGTTTGATTCCCAGTCAGAGCACATGCCTGGGTTGTGGGCTTGATCCCCAGTAGGGGGCGTGCAGGAGGCAGCCCATCAATGAGTCTCTCTCATCATTGCTGTTTCTCTCCCTTTCCCTTCCTCTCTGAAATCAATAAAATAATATATCTATAAAAAGCTAAAAAAAAATAGGATAAGTAGAAAAAGAGATGTGACTAAGACTTTTTACCTTGTAATGGTTTATCTTTTTAGTACATTAGTGAACATATTACCTATTCAAAGGTAAAATTCGAAATTATTCCGGTTAAATTTGTTAGCGCTATTATTTTATTGCTCAGAGTGCAGCGGAATAAGCATCCTAAAGATCCTCTGTCCTGTGCTTGCTTGTTCATTCATTCGTTTGGAGGAACTGGGGTGTATTGTAAGCAAATGCAACCACAGATCTCACTGAAGGCTTCACGGACGCCAGGTGGTCTGGATGCAAAGGAGACCGAGTGATTCATAGATCTTCACTCTAACACAGTTCCTAGGTTTTCAGGTGACCATGTTCCCAAATGTACGTTCTTTCCTAGTGAGCAAATAGGAAAGAGCAGTAATTACGTGCATTTAAATACACATGAAGATGTGCTGAGTTATCCACGCTCATAGCGAGATCAGTTTCTCTCTCCTCTTGTGTGCGCCTGCTTCTTGGGAGGAAATGGGACTTGCTGGGAAGAGCATCAGGCAAGCCTTATCTCAAATCCAGGCCTTACCATTTACTATCTACGTTATTCTTTTAAGCCTCAATTTTCTTACTTAAAATAAAAATAATGAGGTAGAAGAGGGTAGAGGGGGGACACATGGTGATGGAAGGAGACTCGACTTTGGGTGGTGAACACACAATACAATATACAGATGATGTGTTATGGAATTGTGCGCCTGAAATCTATTTAATGTTATTCACCAATGTCACCAAAAAAAATTCAATTAAAATTAAAAAAAATATATATATATATTTAAAAAAGTAAAAGCTACATAATGCACTTTCTCCCTAGATGAGTAGTACACGGACACTGAACACATGCCTTTAATATTTCAAAACTATAAAAGTCCCATGCATTGCAGAAACTTAGACAAGGAGACAATAAGAGATCCGCAAGTCCCGCCCCAGAGGTGACCAGCATGAGTGGTTTGTGGGCATCTCAGGCTCCGCCTCTCTTTCTGTCTGTCTGTCCGTCTCTGTTACACGCAGACTCCTTTACACATGTGTCTGCCCATTGCAATCCCACGTGCATGGGCTAATGGGTGGGGTCCTGGATGCAGCAGGTTCCACGTGTCTCACCTAAGAGGACCCCGAGGTCTGTCTGTGGGCACGTGGAGACCGGCACCCACGGCAGCAGCCGCTCGGCTTGCTGCGTCTGTGTGGACCAGGATCGACGGGTCCAACCCCTCTCCATGGACGTGGTTTCCAGTTTCTGGCAATTTCACCAGCGCTCTGATGGGTAGTCTCGAAAACACATCTTTTTTGAAAAAAATGTATTTTTATTGATTTCAGAGAGGAAGGGAGAGGGAGAGAGAGAGAAACATCAATGATGAGAGAGAATCATTGATTGGTTGCCTCCTGCACACCTCACACTGGGGATCGAGCACACAACCTGGGCATGTGCCTTGACTGGGAATTGAACCATGACCTCCTGGTTCATAGGTCGACGCTCAAAAATACATCTTTGAAAAATTGTGCAAGAACGCCTGTGGGGTGGCCTCCTCGGACCGGCGCTGCGGGAGGTGCCGCCTGCGGGACCTCAGGGCCTGCGCACTGTCCTCCAGAGGGTCCCCGCCCACTTCCCTCTGCACCTGCTGGGGCCTCGGCTTCCTTTCATAGGAAGTGCCCATTTGCCCCTCGGCCCTTTTGAAAACACTGGCTTTCCTGAGTTTTCTGCACACGGGAGGCACGGGGGGGCGGGGCGGGGCACACCTTTCCCTGGAGTGACTTCATCCGGGACCCCCTGTTTGTCAGGAGGGGCCGGGACCACCTGCCTCACCTGAGTGAAGGGCCCAAGGGGCACCCAGTGGGAGCGATGGCCAGGCCACTCCAGGCCCCGTGCCAGGGGATGGGGCCTGTCTCCTGCATGCCTGTGCACAGGGTGGAGGTGCCCCAAGGCCTGTATTTGGGGGTTGGGGCAGTGCCAGGCCTCCACAGTTTCCCTCCACAGGACAGAAAAGGGAAGAGCAGTCATGCCCAGCGGCCATAAAGGTTCCAATCTGGGGGCCCCAAGAGAGCATGGACCCCAGCCCTCCCCGCGCCTCGGGGCGCGCCCCTCAGTTGCGGATTTGCTGATGGTTCTTGGGCACAGCCACGAACCTCAGCTTCCTCATGACGGCCGGCCGGCCCAGCAGCTGCTCGTCCCACAGGTACTCCGGGGACAGCACCTTGGTGGGCTTGTGGTCCAGCAGGTACCGGTTCAGGTGGCTCTCGTCGTGCCAAACGGCCTCGATGCCATTGGCGCGGTCGGCCATCATGGCCTGGTGACAGGACTTGGTGAGCCGCTGAACCTCGGCCACCGACCCCCCGAAGAGCGCCCCCATGTAGTAGAAGTCGCCCTGGTCCCAGGGGATGTAGGCCTGGGACTGCGGCCGGCGCTCGTAGCTGAAGGCCTGGCGGGTCGCCCTGTAGAAGCCGGGGTGCAGGGTGCCGAAGAGCGGGGACAGGATCTCCACGCCCACGTGGTCGCGGAAGCGCATGTCCGCGTCCGCGCAGATGAGAAAGTCCACCTCCCGTTGGAAGCGCCGCTCACAGAAGTCGCTGATCATCTGCATGCGGCGCATGGACACGTCCTGCCAGCGCGCGGCGCCCGGGACCTCGAGCACCACCAGGCGGCGGCCCTCCCCCAGCGCCACGCTGGGCACGTCGGCCGGCCGGTCGGTGAAGACGTAGTAGTGGACCCTGTGCCCCACCATGAAGTGCTGCTCGGCCGTCTCCAGGAAGAGCTTCAGGAAGACCACGTACCTGCGGGGGCGGGGAGGCGGGAGATCACGGGAGCCAGGCCCCACCTGGGCCACGCAGCGCGTGCGCCTTCTTCCAGGGACCCACTCCCCTGGCCGCGCCTGAGCCGGAAGCCTTGGCCTCCCTAATCCTCTGCTCCCGGAGATGGGGGCCCGGCAGCACCCCATCATATGGAGGAGGGCTGAGGCTCCGGGGGCGGAGCAGGGGCAGCCCCTCGGTGAGTAGAGCTGGAGCTGGGTCCCACCTGAGCTGTGCTCCCCTTACCCCCCCAGGTCCCCATCTCCTGGCTGACCCCATCCCACCGGGCTGACCCCATCCCGTTATGCCCTGGACACAGGACAGACCCTCTCTGACCTGCCGCTCCCACCTCCGCTCTCTGCCCTCCGTCCTGCCACCCACTCACTTCTTGATGGCAAACACGGTGAGCCCGACCGTGACGTTCTGGAGCCGGAACTGCTCGTTCAGGATGTCAATGTTGAAGGTCCCCTCCCAGACGATGGGCGCCAGCCAGGGGGTCAGGACGAGGACGTCTTTCCTCCTGGGCCGAGAGCCCACAGCCACGTGTGAGCGGGCAGGAGGGGGACACACTCCGCCTGTGCCCCCTGCGGCACCGGGCGCCCCACTCGGCCCCATGCCCTTGGCGTCCCAGGAGGACGTGGCATCGGCAAGCAACCCGCCTGATGCCAGTCCAGATGCAAACGTGGGCGATCCCCCCTGACCAGCTCTGCACCCTGAGGACCCGGGGCATCAGGACCTGCTGGCGAAGGGGACCCCCTGCAGGAGGCCCCACCCTCCAACTGTCTTGGTGAACAGAGGACACAGAACAGGACACCGAGCGCAGGGGGAAGGACAGAGACTGTGGGCTCCAGGCTCAGCGCCCAGGCCGCCAGAGCACGGAGTGCAGCGGAACCAGGCCCGGGAGTGACGGCAGTGGCCCGCCCTTTAGGACATCGGGAGAGTGACGGTGAGCTGCAATAAAAGTACTCATGAGGACGTCAGCACCGTGGGCTGCGGGTAAAGCATCCTGAAAAACAGCACAGTGCAGCCTGAGTGTCGGGGAGTCCCGTGGAAGTCGCCGGCAGGGCAGGGTGGCTGCTGAGAGTGCCAGGCTGTGCCTTCTCCCCGGACCCGGAACCCAGGCTCCTCCGCAGGCACCTCGGGGAGGCTGGGCCTCTGCGTGTCGCTTCCCCGCGTGTGCACTGGGCCCTGGATCTAAAGGCCTCGGGCCTAAAGCGCTCCCTCTGACCCGAAGTGGCGGGATCCCAGG